ATAGCAATAACTCAAAGAAAGATTTGATGATGTCAAACCCTACCTTCATTCTATAAAATATCAGAAAGTCTTCAGGAACTCAAACCTGGGTTAATATAAAACTTAATTAAAAATATCAGTAATATGTAAATCACAAGGACCAGATAAGTGTAAAAATCTTGAAATAACAGTAATAAAAATACAAAAATAGTGATTTAGATGGATTTTTTCTAAGATTATTTTCTTTTAACAGAAAGGCCTAATATTGGTTCTATTGAGAAGAAGTAATTTATCTTACATAGTCAAATAAGTAAGCCATCAAGAGAAGCAAGATATGTGTTTAAAGGCTGTCTTGGAATCATTTGTCTTATGTTTTAGATCACCCAGAAGTAATTAGCCTTATAAGAATTGGTTCTTCATTTTAAATGAGGTATGTTATCCTGTCATCCAGAGGATCAGAGGGCAACAAGGTTTAACACTGGGTGGAATCATGACACAAATTTAAATATGACATGGGGCAAAAATTCAGGAACTAACAATTCTGTTGTTTGTTCTCTCATTAATCCAGTTATAGTTTTGAAAAATTATTTTACATCCCCTCCCCAACTTAATATTTCTCTACTTCTCCAAAAAGAAATTTTAATATTTTTCATAAGTTTCAAAAAGCATTAAGAATGTAATTCTCACACCACAAGCCCAGGTGTACAAGGAATTTATCTTTATTTTATAAAACTTAACTGAAATCCAACTTCTTGGATACTTTCTCACATATTACATAGTTCTTGAGATTTTATGCAGGTCTCAGCAGCATCTGGGGGGTGAGTTCAGGAGATCAGCCCAAGATAATCAGTCCAAGCAGGTATGGTTTCTCACTTTTTCAATTCTGTCATACTTGGCCATCTTTTATGAGACTCTCTTGTTCCAGGCTGAGTGAATCAGTGGATTTCACCCCTACTTACATACTACAGTGCAGAACTTTGAAAAAAATGTGTAGTCAGTGTTGAGATGATTTCTGCCAAGAGTTATGGATAAAAACTGGATCTGATGACCTGTTTAACAGCTGTCCACAGCATTGTGAAGGAAATTGCTGCTTCCCCAAAAGATGTTGTATGTGTGTGTGTGTGTGTGTGTGTGTGTGTGTGTGTGTGTGTGTTTGAGGTACTGGAGACTGAACCCGGGCCCTTGCATATGCTAGGCAAGGCCTCTACCACTGAGCACATCCCCAGCCTTCAAAGACTATTTTTTTTTTTTTTTTTTGGTACTGGGGATTGAACTCAGGGGCACTTGACCACTGAGCCACATCTCTAGTCCTATTTTTGTATTTTATTTAGAGACAGGGTCTCCCTGAGTTGCTTAGTTGCCTTGCTTTTGCTGAAGTTGGCTTTGAACTCACAATCCTCCTACCTCAGCCTCCCAAGCCACTGGGATTACAGGTGTGTGTCACTGTGCCCAGCTCAAAGATTGCTTTTTGGTATCACCTCCACAAGCTCCCTTCTCCATCATTTTCTAAAACATTGTACAATTCCACAAGGACTTTCAAAAACAAAAATGCATAAAGACTGAAACACTTCTAGCCTATTATTTCTGCTTAGGATTTTGCTATATTCTCCACAAAATGCATTGCAGACTACATTTTGGAATTGGGACCGGAGAAAGGAAGAAATATGAGGGAGGAGAAAAATAAAGTAACATCATATAATACCCATCAACACTTCTAAAGATGACTTTTAAAAGTGATGCTATTAGTTCACAAATTTAGTTAAATGTATATTAACAATTATTTTAATCTACAAAAATCCTTGATATATTTAAAAAGGTTTTGTTGGGTTCTCTTTCTTCTCAAAATCATCGTAAAATAGAGAGCATAGACTTTATTATCAACAGATTCCAACTAAAATAATCAAAACTTACAAACATAATGACTTGACCAAAACCATGAAGCGAATTTGGAGAAATAAAAATATTCAGCAAAAGTACCAAGTCTAGACTTAATAAATACTTGAGAAATGATCAAGAAACAATGTACACACAGTATAATATTTTGAGATTTTAGCTAATAGATTCCTTCCTCCCCCAGCTAAGAGATTAAAATAACGGAGCTCAGAAGTGTGAAGAAATGTCAATTTTTTCATAAGAAAAGAAGAAATTTTGAGAAGAATCTGGGAAAATAATGGTACGGCTCAGTCAGGGCACTCATAATTATGTGATGATTTCTTTTGAGTAGGTTAAATCAAAAGGAGTTGGTTAAAAGGGTCTAAATGCTAATGTGTCTTTGGGAGAGAGGAAACTCAGGGTGCTCTCCTTAGTCCAGTTCTCAGAGACCTGGACACAAGGATATGATAAACTGACAGCTTGAGAATCCAAAGATGGCGTGTGTTCTGACTCAGGTGGATCCAAGGGGATTGATAGTCTTCCCCATGATTTCCTTGTGTCGGGGGATGAGACATCTCAGTGATGCATTTAGTCTGACAGATCAAAACAAAAATCTTGCCAAGTTTCCTACAGTTAGAATACCATGGGAGCAGAAAAGTATTTCCCACCCTTCGTGAGAGTGCCACATAAACAGATAAATGGTCAGCTGATGACCTGTTTGTCCTCAAGTCATTCCTGGCCTCTACTCTGCACTAAGCAGGGTCCCATGGAGGTTGACGCTCAAGGCTACAGGTGCAGTGCTGTGCCAAGAATGAGTGGGAAGAGGGTCTTTCCCAGGTATGGGCAATTAAGAGGGTCTCCATTCCACAAATCATTTAAAAATAATAGTGAACTAGCTAAATATTGAGTCTTTTATTACTCTCACTTGTTGATCTTCTAGACAATGTTAGTGATAAAGCATTCCTGCTTTTTAAAAAAAAAATGAGAAAGATAAGATAAAGGAAATGTTGACCTAAGGTTTAAACAATCATAGAAAAAGACAGCCACCTATAAACCAGGTGAGGGGCCTGGAAATAGATCTTTTCCTCAGAATAAACCAATTCAGTAGACATCTTGACTTTTAGTTACCAGAACTGTGAGAAAATAAATTTCTGCTTTTTCATACCCAGTCTGTGATATGGCATCCCTAGCAAAATTAGACAGAAAAAGTAGATAGATGATTGGTAGATATATAGATAGATGATTGACACAGAGATGATTGGTGCATAAATGACAGACAGATAATATAGAGACAGATGATAGAGAGATGGATAATAAATGAAGACAGTGAAGATGTTGAAAGATGGTAAAGTGGTAGATACATTGATAAAGCATGAATATATATAGTACAGAGATACATGGTAGATAACAATGATGATGACAGGTGATCAGATAGGGAGGTAGGTAGGTAGGTAGATATACAGTTGATACAGACATAGGTAGATGTTGTCTATGCTGCATTATCCTAGCATACGGGGCCTTGACAGCTTAAATTTGCTGCAGATGTTAATAGAATGAGTTTTCCTCTAGATTCAAATTCAGCAAGACACATTTAACAAATAATCATTCTTCAGTCACTCAGTTTTATTATTTTAATTTTTAAAATGCAAATCAAACCACCTTTTCCATAAATTGACAGTATTAAAATAACTCAAGTTCTATTTCAATGTTGCCACAATTCCTGTGCTAAAGTATTATAGGCCCAAACTATGCACTAGCTAGTTGGAATGATTTTAACCTGCTGTGATAGAATGATATCATACATTCTATCTATGAAATACAAATGTACTAATAAAGCTTACTACTGAGAAGAATTTCTTTTTCAAAGAAGCAACATATTTAATAAAGTGATTTTTTCCAGGGGTTAAATATGACAGCCCACTAAGGCTTTATTTCCAAGCTCCTGTGTTCAGCCATTGTCTGTTAGATTTGGCCAACTGGAAGCTTTGGTGAGAGTTCCTCCCCTTCTCTCTCTGCCTTGGGCAATGCCCCAGAGGCAACTCTGACTGCTCCCCAGCTCTGCTTGTGGGCACAGCTTGGACTGAGCTTCTGCCAAGTGTGCCTCATCTCTTTGGCCTAGCAATACTGCTTTCTTTGTTCACTCACCTTTGAGGACATGAGAACTTCATGCTGTTAGCGTTTGGGAGGTCCCAAGATCCTCTTTAGTTTATCACTCTCCCATGAGACATGGAACAAATTCCTTTTATTAAGTTCACTAATTTGAACACCTAAAATGATAGAGGTTTTCCTGGAGGGATGCAATGACTGAAAATCATCCTACAATGGGTACATCATTGCCTTGAATTTACATGCCCCCAAAAAACTGTAATATAACGATGGGAAAATTAAGCCCCTCACTCCCATTGAAAAATTGGTCCATGGGGACTTGAAATAAAAATTAAGTACATTTTTAAAAATAATTGGTGTTTGTGTGTCAAAACACCCACCCCATGGGAGATGGCAACCATTTACTGAGAAAAATGAATATAAAATGATTTAATAAAGGAAGAAATTAATAAGTGGATCATAATATGAGGCACCTATGGGAAATCAAAAGTTCAGCTCCAAAATGGATAGAGTTCTGCATTGTTAGTATTCTGTCAACAAGATTATTTCTGAGACAAGACATTGCTACA